ATGTGAACTCCTTATGCCAAGGAAAAAAGAAAACTGGACAGTTTCCATCTTCAGTGTCTCCACCTATCCTGGGCATAACATGGCATAACAAACTCTCCAACTTTGCTGTTGTGGAATGGGCCAGGTTACCCAGTATGTTCATGCTCCTAAGACAGTGATGCTTCCATTAGTTAGGGCATGTGAATTGTATGAGCAATGGCTAAATCCCCAAGGACATACTGGCACTATAGTAAGCTGGCCACTGGCAAATATCAACTTGGACAGTCCAAACTCCATTTTGTTGATATCTGCAAGAGAACCCTTTGTGAGCTGCGCACTGATGGCCAATGCTGGGAATCAATCGCTTCAGACTGCTGAGAGTAGAAAGCTGCTGTGAAGCAGGGCCTACATCATTTTGAGATGGGGAGGGTCGATGATGAGATAGAGAAGAGGTGTCAGAAGCAGGCAAGACAAGACAGTCTTGCCAATAATATTAAGATTGATTAATATTAATTATTGGCATGACAACCCAAGTGAGGGCTCCTTCTTGTAACGTCTTTGTGGAGGTTGCTTCAGCCTGGGGTTCTAGCCATGCTCTAACAGAGCAATGCAGCAAGGAACAATAGATAACTGCAGAATGCCTGGTTCATATTAGGGGGACAAGCTGGATTTGCAAGTAGGATGCTGGTTTGGATCTCAGAAAGCCTGGGTTTTACTTCTCCCCCCCCCCCCCCCCCCCCGCCCGATTTTGCCATAATGTTGCCATGCAACCCAAAGCAAGTATCTTCATCTCTTGTCTAGTTACACTGTAACTTCTTTGTATACCATGAATATGCACATAGTGTCCTATACAATGGAACCCCTACCTCTGGCAGGCACAAGTTTGATACAAATAAATAACACTTGTGAACTTGGGAAACTGCTCTCCACTTTGCAAGAGGGAAGGGCTGAAAGAACATGTCATTCTTGGGTGTTTAGTGGCTTTGGCTATTTTGCAAGAAGCCAGTCTCCCAGCCTTGGAGACTGAAGACTTAGTTCACAGTGAGAGAATTGAACACACAGATGACCCTTGCACTGGGAACGTGTTGTGAGTGCTGATTTGGACCTATAGTGTCAACACTGCTGAGTTATTTATATGATTCTGTAACTGCCCTGCTCCTGTAGTATCTGCTGCCCTACTCATAGTATCTGATCCATCATAAATGTCATGCATTCAGTATAATTGTGGTGACACTTCAGATGAAGGAAATAAACGCTTCCTTGAAGCTTCCCTAAACCATGAACTCTTAGAAAATGTTGCTTTTGCCTGGACAGTTTACCTGTGACAGAAAGCAGCTGTAGCACAAGACAGACCTCCTGGCACTTAGCAGCATCAGTTGTTTGTAGAGGGGAAACGATCATAAACAGTCTGTGCAGACTTTTGGCTGCTCTGGTGACATGTGTTTTGCTTTTGAGAGCAGCAAGTCAAACTTTTCAATTTCCTTGCAACAAGAAAAATATGAGGTCAAATGGGATTATTTAGTAATGATGTGTCCACATCTGTAAGGAATTTGCTGCCTTTCCAAGTCAATTATGTTTTGGTTCCAACCAGAAAGATATGGGCCACCTGGTCTCCTACCACAAAACTTATTTTACTTTTGTAGCATTTCCCAGACAGGTAAATTTATTCTGAGTTTTTCAGTCTCCTGTGAGGAACCCAATTATTTAAACTATGGTAGAAATGTAGGGAATCCCAAAACAAGGCTTATTGGTACAGGAAAAGAAAAAAAAGCCAAGCATTCATAAAAAAAAAAAAAGCATATGCATGTAACATGTTAGAATAGATTTTGACTATTGTTATAACTCATACCTCAAGGTATGTAGAAAAAACATTTAAAGCTGTGTCTATGCCTGAATCGCTGATTCTCCAAATCAGCATCGAATCTTCAGATTCGGATCTGGCCGAATCGAATCAGGGACAGTGATCCGAATCAACGAATTGAATCACTGTCCCTGATTCAGGCCAAATCCAAATCTGAACCGAATAGGGCCTGCTTTGCACACTCCTAGTAAATAGTCTTATGCGCAGTCTGAAGAGTACCACGTCTGTGATTGCCCATTGTATATTGGGAAGAGTCTGTCGGTCTTTCTTTTAGGAAGGAGCTTTTGTCCTCTGAAGGAACATTTGTTTTTTTCTGCGTACAAATGCATAGAATACAAAGTCAAACCCCAAAATTTTAGCAATAGTCCTATTTCTCATGGACTTGCAAAAGAAGATGCTAGATGATAGGTGAAGATGCTAGGCTCTGAGAAGGGAAAGGTGAAATAAAGGAGATAGGGAAACTCTAATGCACAGTGAATCATCACAAAGATATCCATCTTTATGCTAAGATCAATCAATGGAAAATCTGACAGAAGGCAAGACAGAGGTACACCTTATAGGCCAACTGAATCAAAGATGCATAAGCTTTCATGAGCCACAACTCTCTACATCAGATGCAATGAAAGGACATGCAGAGAATCTGAGGCAAAGCAAAGGAAAATACAGGATCCAAGACCTAGTCCATGGACCGGAGATCAGAATTTTCCCATCTATAATAGAATTACTTTGTTTTTTCTAAAATGCTTCCTCCCAATGTGCCTGTTGGGACACAGTATCTGTTTAACAGTGTGTGAGGATAGGAAATGAAGAATGTTGTATCTTCTTGAAATAGAAAAGCAGAATACAGGCCTGTATGTAGCGTGGGTGAAAGCACACAAGACAATAATTTGAAGCAGGCTCGTCACATTCAAAGTTGCTGAGCATGGCCACATAACAGCAATACCAGCATTGTAAGGACAACAGAATGAATGAAAGATTTGGCCACAAATAAAAAAGAATGATGTTAATTGTCTCATTGGAATGTGCATGATGTCGTGTGTCCAAAGAGGCAGAAACTTTAAGAAACTGCCTAAATCTGAGATTCAGAGTCATAGAAAATCATAGATTCAAACAGAGCAAGTCTCCCTCACCTGAAAAGAGGTCTAGCAGATACAACTACAAATGTGGAACATCTGCAGACAGCAGAGCAGACTGAGGAATATCCAAACACGTGGCGCTAATTCCTGTAACACAGGCTTTCAAAAATCTAAAAGGTCTTGCCTTTGCTTCCTGCCAGCAAGAAAATCAATATGCTGCTGTTGCATTTGGCTGGTAGCAGGTCAGACTAAGAATAAGACCAGCAGGCATGTAAACATCTCGCATGCATCTCTGTGGAGAGTTCACTTCAAGACCTACTTCTGGTCAAAAAGACTGGAGTATGAGTTTTCCTAAGCAAAACTGTAGGAGAATCACTTTTTGTAGCAGTCAGAGGAGCTGGATTAACGGCTGTGGAAGCTGAAGTCTTCTGTATAGCCACAGAGCAAGCAGGAGAAATCAAATTTGCCCTACTCTGAGTTATAGGATCCCTCCTGAAAAATGGCATCTAAGGACACCCAGGAAGCTCAGTAGTCATTAGGCCTGTGCAAAGTGGCTAGTATTCGCTTCAGATTTGGATTTGGCCAATTCAGGGGACAGTAATTTGATTTGATGATTCAAATCACTGTCCTGAATCAATTCAGCTGAATCTGATTCGGAGATTCAGCAGCTGCCAAATCTCTGAATCAGCCAGGCCCATCCCCCACAGCCTGGCAATGGCTGCCCCACCTGCCCCAGCTCCTGGCACTTGGAAAAAAACCCACCCTGTCTCAGCGGGTGCTGCCGGGAGGGAGGGGCAATCTCTGCTGCCCCCCACTATATGGGGGGCTCTTCCATGAGCCTCCCGAAGCCCCAAGGCCACTGCAGAAGTGGTGAGTCCTGGGGCTTTTCTCCATTTTTTTTTTCTCAAAGGGCTAGAGCTGGGGCAGATAGGGCACCTGTAAAGGGGGTATGGGGAGCGACGCAGGGGTCAAGGGGCTCTTGGCAGAGCCCCCCATGCATCATGGGGCAGTGGGGGACAGCAAGGATTGCCCCTGCCTGGCACAACCCGGTGAGCACCAGGGCTTTTCTTTAAAGGGCTGGGAGCTGGGGCAGGTGGGGCAGCCATGGTGGGGCTGGGGGAGTGGATGGAGCTTGGAGGGGCTAGGGGAGCAGGCAGAGGATGCGGCCTGGCAGGGGTCCCCCCATGGTCCCCTCCCCCGCCCCTAGCACTTACCAGCTCCGAGTCTGGCCATAGCTCCCTGCTGCAGCAGCTGGGGGCTACCCAAATCATCAAAGCTCTCTGAATCTTTTCCGAAGATTCAGAGAGCTTTGAACTGATTCGGACCTTTTACTTGGTCCCTTGATTCAATTTGGATTTGGAGATTCAGCCATTTAATCGGGCCAAATCTCCTCTGAATCGAATCACCATCCGAAGCTTCGCACACACCTAGTAGTCATGACCCACTGTGTCCTTCACTTCCATGATGCCAAGAAAGGAGACCAATGAGCCAACTGTAATACTGTTTTCTGAGAGGCTGCCATCTCTTTGTTAGGTCTTGGACTACAGTCACTAAGTCTTTTCCACAAGCAATATAAACAGCCTACAAATGGGAACAACATTTAGGTACTACAAAAAAAGCCTGGAGAGTGATTTGTCAGAGATGAAATGTTCTTTAGCGTATGTCTTTTTACTGTGCAATGCAGTACCACCTGAGCTAGTTCCTTCACAGGTATCAGGAGCTGTCTAGTGATGTTAACATGAAGAGCCCTTCAGACTATGTACCCTGGTTTCTCAGTGCAGCACGGTTGCCTCTGGTACCCAAGCTAGGTCTAAATAAGCAATGCTTGGAATCTCCACACTGCATTTCACTGTGCTGGATAGACATACTCTTACTCTGCTCCCTCAGCCATGCAGATGCCATTCACAGATGCTGGAATTGTCCAAAATGGACATATATCTGGTTTGGCCCCTTAAACAATTAGCTTGTTCTCTGTATGTAAGACAACAGTGCAGTGAATTTCATGGTCAGTTGTTTGGGGAGGACATGCTTAGTAAGCTCTGCACAGAGGAACACATGGAGTTAGTATATCTGCTTCAACTCACCAACATGAGTATGAGCATCTCCGGCTGTAGCGGCAGCAGTAAAATTGCCATTCCCGATCCAGCACTGAGGGAAAATACTGACTCTGGAACCCAGCCACGAGGCCATTATTTGAGCAGGTCTGATACCTGAGAAAAGGAAACAAGACACGGAGACACATTAGTTTTCTGCTGGTCAGTTAGTTGCCAGGGGTATCAAACTCATTCAGCTTTGTGGGGCACATGAGGGGTGTGGGGCCAGTTTGGTAGCTGAATTGGATCTACAGACTGGCCCTGTACTCTGGAGCCAGAGAACAGGACTGGCCTGGTGCTGACACTGCATGAAGAGCCAATGCATGGGGCTGACCTGAGACGCACAGGCAGCAATACAAGCCAGATGATAAAGTGTACATAGGCTGAGCCTGGTGGCTTAGTCAGGATACTGATACTTAGTTATGGTGAGGTGTTGTTAGCACATATGACTTTGTAGAGGTGTTACTCTGTGCTTGACGGCCTCTGTTATGTTGCAGAAACCCAGCTGAGTTTCCCTTGAGGGGACTGACATTTGCAATGTTTATCTGCATTCCTAAGGAATGCTTATCTGAGTTCCTAAGGACTGTTTCTTCTAAAAGCAACACCTCATATACATGTTAAGTGCATGTTAACATTCATATTCATGTTAAATTGCCTAATTTGGACTGCCCTAGTCTGCATTATCTTTAATCCTCCTTTAGTAAGGATTTGTTAATTCAGACTGGAGCCAATTTTAATTCGGACTACAAACGGCCATGTGTATAAAGTGGTGGCTGTAGTCTAGATTAAATCTAGAAAACCATAACATCTATAAATGACCTGAGTGTTATGGGTTCATCCCAATTACATTTTTAGGTCTTTCTCTACAACCATCAAGGTAGGAAACTTAAAATGAAAGCTTGGGCTTCTCGTGTAATCATGTGTCTGCAAGAGACAGGACTTCAAGAAAAATACCACATATTACAAGAAATGTGATAAAATCATGAGATCCTAGTAAAGCTATATATTGTTTTGCATGTGGTAAAACTGAGTCTCACTCTACATAAGGAGAGTGTAAGATTAGCCCAAAATTTTAGGAGTGCATTTGAAAAACAAGAATCTCATCAGGGTTAGTCAAATTGTAGCTATCTGCTACGTGCTATCTGTGCTCTGGAAATTAACTGCCAACAAATACATCTGTGCACTTTCTGAAGCATGTACAGACTCTCTAAACATACAGACACAACTCTGCAACCCTGATGTAGTTGGACATAAAATCTAGAAGTGGACAAAGTGCTAATTCTTCTGTAAGGAGCTTGCTTCTTTTGGGGTGAAAATTGATAGGGGCAACAGTATGGCACTGAAACTGCTCTGGGCCAGTATTCATGGGACTCAATGGCATCTCTGCAACTGACTTCAATATGCACTGGATCAAGCCCACAGAAAAGCAAACTTGAAGGCAATGAACTAGGCATGTGTGAGTAGAATTGGTCCACACAGTATCTGGTAGCAACTCTTGAGTGCTCCCCCATTCAATTAAAGCATTTTTTTAACCTCATTCTTTCTTCAGACAGTATTATTATGAGTGCTTACTTTCTTCCATTTCCTTTCTCTTTTTGAAGAAACAAACCTCAGCTCTGTCTGCAGCCAGGAAGGCTGGCAGTCAAGCTCTCTTACAAGCCTTCACACTCATGCCAAAAACAGATATACACTTACAACACAGCCAAAAGACACTTTCAGAGATTGGCTCTAATGTAACAGATGTGAAAACATTTCTTTGGGTTCATTTACAACTTAATTGGGAGAGTCTGGCGTTCCCATGGGAATGGCAAGTCATCAAAATGTGTTTTGCATTTGGCAAGGCTGTCACCTGTTTATGCAGGTGACACGGTGGGGAAACTAGATGCATGAGTGTTTGCATGTGTCTAGTTTTGGAAAACTAGGCTCACTAAAGCCAGGGTTTTTAGTCTGCCCTCCATATTTAAGCCCTCACAAATAGGAATATCAACAGAAGTAGGGAAGTAACCTGGAAAACAGCAACACACTTTGACCAACGTGATTCAGTAGGAGTAGCGACTGTTCAGCATCTCAGAAAAATCAGGCCTCTTTTATACCCACAAGGTGCCTCTCTTTTAGGTGGTAGTGCTTAACTTTAGGTGTCTGAATTCAAAAGCCAGGGGATATACCTTTCCCACAGAGTTTGTGTGTATAACCATGGCTATTTGTATTCCTTGGCTTGCCCCTGACACATGCCACGTTGCCCTAAGCCATTCTGCATACCTGTACTTTATAGGATTCTTTCAAAGTCCTTCTGCAGCAAGGGACTGTCACTTGCTTGGCATCCTGCCAAGTTAGGGATTTTGGCCAGTATTCAGGGAGTTTCACAAGTACTTGGAGAGAAAGTTGCTGTTTTTTGCTACAGAGGCCATGGAAACATATGACTAATACATTGTATAAAACACTTTGGGCAGCTTCAAATGAACAGTGCTCTCTAAATTAAGGAGAGATGTTAACATTCAGAAACAAAAGGGAGGGCTCAGTTGTGCGTATTGTTGCAGTTAAAAGTGGGCTTTTAAACCTAGTGCAGTTACAGATTGACACGACATCTCATTTGATTAGAAGCAGAAAGGCTTTAATAACAATACCACAAACAAGCTATAACACTAAATGACAGAAAAAGAGACTCTTATTCAATATTCAAAAAGTGAGCTATCACCGAAGTCCAAGTATATGTTTAGCTGCAAGAGTGTTTTCTCACCAATGCAGGCCAGGAAGCAGGATCCTGCTCAGTGAAAGCTGTAATGAAACTTTCTCATGAAGAACTGGGTGTGATGTAGTGATTTATCTCTGTTTCTCTTGGAGCACACACCTTACTGGCAATTCTGTTTTGCTCTTATACTGTTTAATTGTATAGCTTCAAAGCATTTTTTGTGATGGTCAGTTGATTAAAGTCCAAACAAAACAGGGAGGAAGAGGAAATTAAGGCATTACAATTGTTAACTGTTTGAATCCTGTTTTTGGATTTGTCCAGGTGTGAAACTTGATTTTTCTTGCAGTTTCTGACCAGTCCAGAAGTTGTAAGTCAATCAAATGTGATGGGTCTTGATTGGCTAAATGGGATACCTATGGGCACTGATTATAGGACTTGTTTTGGGGTATTTGTTTAACAAAGGGGTAAATTTGCAATAGCTTGCACTGGCGATGGTCTATTTACAAAATCCCAGACAAATATTGCATGATTGAGACATTTGCAACACCTCAGGCAGACTTTGAATGATTGAGACATTTGAGAAATGAGGCTGTATTAACAAGGCACATGTAGCATGCATGCCCATGCATTTATCACATACAGGACACATTTCCTGTATTCAGTGTACCTTTTACAGGTTCTGTTTTGAAATTTTGAAATGGAGTCACACTTTACAGCTAGCCCCCTATACTGCAATGGGCTGAAGCAAAATCATAGAGCTTAACACTCCCATAAACATATCTGTATACTCCTATGCCAAACTTTGGGGAAGTTTTGATCCTGATCCAAACTTGGGAACACACCTCATAAAAATATGATTGGAAGCCAAGATCAAGAGAATTTCTCTTGCCATGCTCTTTGGATCCCACTGGAAAAATAACTGGGTGTAGATTTGGAACAGAGCTGGAAATAATGTTTTCATTTAATAATTGTATTTGCATTACCTTTTAAAGCCAAATGAAGGAAAATTTGTTCTAGGAAACCTGAAAAAATGTTTCCAACAAAAAACCTCACTACAAGTCCCAGGGTTCTGCCATTGCCCCTGTATAAACAGGTTGGGTTCTTCCAGTTCTGCTGCAAACATGAAAGCCATTGAAGAAGGGGAAAGCTGAAAATTGAGTGTTTTTCTTCATTTCTTAAGTCATATAAACATTTAGGTCTCTCTTATTCTTCCTAGTTTCCTCAGTTAAAATCCAAATATTCTTCCAAAGAGGAAAAGAGAATCTCCCCCAACCTGGCACGAGTATTTGTGAACTTATCTAAAGTCTCTCTGAGTTTGTCTCTCTTCCCAGCTGGCCATTTTTCTACAATCACAAAATATCTCACGAAGAGAAAAGAAAAATAAACTCTTATTTGGCCTGCTGATTTTAAGTGTTAATATTGAAAACAAGCCTGAATTTTGGAGCGCTTTTCTCCTCTCTGATGTATTCATTAGTCTTGTAACAAATCCAGCAAAACAAATGCAGTGAATAAAAACAACCACCCAGGGCCTCTGTTTTATTGCTTCTCTGGAAGAAGACAAGTCTTTTTCATTTGCATGACATTCTTTAGCACCACTTGATAGCACTATTGCTGTACAAGGCATTTGAGAACAGAGCCCTGGCACAGCACAGGGACCTTGTTAGCCAGTGAAACATGGGGGTGACTAAAGTAAGAGATCTGGTTATCTTTCAGGAGGAGGTTCTTGAAGGTTGTAGGAAGCTGGCTGGGGTTGTGTGGGATTAAAATATAGTCAAGTGTGTTTTTACTTGGCCCAAATATTCTGCAGCTGGAGCTGGTTTTTTAGACCTGGTGTTTAGGCAACAGAAGGAAGGGTGGAGCTCCACTGGCCAGTAGAAGGAGGACCGGGAAACTGCTGGGATGGCAAGGGCAAGGGACTTCAAGCATCCTCAAAAGGGGGTTCATTGTCTCTCACAATGGCTCCAGCGGAGAGGCCTGATTCTCAGGTACATCACCCTTGCACTGTGAAGGAGTAAAGGCACTCAAGCATAGCTGAGAATCAGAGTCTTAAAGCTTAGCTTTTGTATATTTTTACTATGAGTTTGCCTCTTGGATGAATATATTGCAAGCCGTCCCTTGTTTTGTTCTGTATATAGTGCCAGGTGTTTTAAACAACATTCCTGTTCTTCTGCTTTAAAGTATTTTATCACTTCAACTTTCCCTTTTAAATAACCAAATACTGTAATGAAAGCAAGTAACCTCCCTACACCCACCCTCCAAGTCAGGAGTGTCAAGCTCATCTGACCCATGGACCCTCCTCTTCCTCACCCATGCCAGATTCAGCACACATGGCGCATGCTCCAAGATCTGCTCCATGGATGGTGCCCACCCTCTCACCCCACAGGTCTGTGCCCTGTTAAAAGATGCTGTTTGAACACAATTTTCCTGT